GGGATTTCGGATGGAGCTTTGATTGTAAATTGATAAAATCCATCATCATTCTTAGTTAACAAAGCAGGTTCTGGTGTTTGAGAGTTAATTTGATACATCGGAGAAGCCTTTGAGGCATCATCTTCTACTACATCAGCTTTAAATGAAGACTGATTAATTGATCAGCTGAATATTTAACATTTTTATCAGAATTCATATCTTTAAAATCTGAAATGGTTGGAGGGGCACAAATTATAATATTATCAATTTTTTGTTCAGAAACAATTGAATGATCAAAAATTAAAGCAACAAATATCGGATCATAGTGGAGCTTTGATTGTATCGGGAATTTGCATTGAATATTTATTTTCAGTAAATTGAACATGTAAATTGTATCCAGAAAAGAATCTGGTTTGGAAGTCTGCCTAGCAGCAAGAATCGAATATCCTTGATTTGAACTTGGAAAATCGATTGTGATTGGCAAGACAATTGTATCAGGAATTTTATAATAAACTTTTCAGGAGTTTGAATTAAATTAATAGTTGGATGTCATGTTTGCCAAATATGATTTTAATGAATTCCTCAGATCTTAAATCTGTGGTCACTTGATCTACTGTTTGATTAGTTGCTATGACGACATGTAAATGTCTTGTAGCGCCACTTACACCACTAACATTTACTGTGATGTATCCTTCCTTGCGTGTAATTTGGTCTTCTGTGAATTTCTTAATTTTATCATTATTACCATCAATATCTTGATCTCCAAGAGCAGCTTGGTCATTATCGGTGAAAATGTAGTATACTTTTTTGATGGCTGCTGCAGATCCTGTTTCTATCTTGAGCTTGTAACTGCCTGCCTCCTCGATTCTGCTTGCTTGACCTTCATCGGTATTGACAATTGAAGCACCGCTGATTTTTGGATAAATTTTGATTTCCTTTTTGAATTCCTCAGATCTTAAATCTGTGGTCACTTGATCTACTGTTTGAGTAGTTGCTATGACGACATGTAAATGTCTTGTAGCGCCACTTACACCACTAACATTTACTGTGATGTATCCTTCCTTGCGTGTAATTTGGTCTTCTGTGAATTTCTTAATTTTATCATTATTACCATCAATATCTTGATCTCCAAGAGCAGCTTGGTCATTATCGGTGAAAATGTAGTATACTTTTTTGATGGCTGCTGCAGATCCTGTTTCTATCTTGAGCTTGTAACTGCCTGCCTCCTCGATTCTGCTTGCTTGACCTTCATCGGTATTGACAATTGAAGCACCGCTGATTTTTGGATAAATTTTGATTTCCTTTTTGAATTCTCAGATCTTAAATCTGTGGTCACTTGATCTACTGTTTGAGTAGTTGCTATGACGACATGTAAATGTCTTGTAGCGCCACTTACACCACTAACATCTACTGTGATGTATCCTTCCTTGCGTGTAATTTGGTCTTCTGTGAATTTCTTAATTTTATCATTATTACCATCAATATCTTGATCTCCAAGAGCAGCTTGGTCATTATCGGTGAAAATGTAGTATACTTTTTTGATGGCTGCTGCAGATCCTGTTTCTATCTTGAGCTTGTAACTGCCTGCCTCCTCGATTCTGCTTGCTTGACCTTCATCGGTATTGACAATTGAAGCACCGCTGATTTTTGGATAAATTTTGATTTCCTTTTTGAATTCTCAGATCTTAAATCTGTGGTCACTTGATCTACTGTTTGAGTAGTTGCTATGACGACATGTAAATGTCTTGTAGCGCCACTTACACCACTAACATCTACTGTGATGTATCCTTCCTTGCGTGTAATTTGGTCTTCTGTGAATTTCTTAATTTTATCATTATTACCATCAATATCTTGATCTCCAAGAGCAGCTTGGTCATTATCGGTGAAAATGTAGTATACTTTTTTGATGGCTGCTGCAGATCCTGTTTCTATCTTGAGCTTGTAACTGCCTGCCTCCTCGATTCTGCTTGCTTGACCTTCATCGGTATTGACAATTGAAGCACCGCTGATTTTTGGATAAATTTTGATTTCCTTTTTGAATTCTCAGATCTTAAATCTGTGGTCACTTGATCTACTGTTTGAGTAGTTGCTATGACGACATGTAAATGTCTTGTAGCGCCACTTACACCACTAACATCTACTGTGATGTATCCTTCCTTGCGTGTAATTTGGTCTTCTGTGAATTTCTTAATTTTATCATTATTACCATCAATATCTTGATCTCCAAGAGCAGCTTGGTCATTATCGGTGAAAATGTAGTATACTTTTTTGATGGCTGCTGCAGATCCTGTTTCTATCTTGAGCTTGTAACTGCCTGCCTCCTCGATTCTGCTTGCTTGACCTTCATCGGTATTGACAATTGAAGCACCGCTGATTTTTGGATAAATTTAAAAAAAAAAAGGTAGTGGGGCTTCCAGGCGCGTTGCGCCCTCTAGCCCCGAAGATGCTTAGTATAAATGAAGTTTTTATTCGGAGGGCTTCCAGGAGCTTTTCACAAATTATATATGTTTTCATGTTTTGTCACTTTTCTGTCACTTTTCAGGAAAAAACATTTTTATTATTATATATAAATGAATTTTACAAAACCACCGTTACCGTTCTTTGGAAATAAGAGTAGATGTAAAGATATTCTATTGAGAGAACTTAAGAAACTACCGAATGGTCTAACATTTGTAGATTTGTTCGGTGGAAGTTTCTATATATCCCATTTGTGCCATACAATATTCCCAGACTCAAAGATTATATGCAATGACTTCGACAACTATATGGACCGTCTCAAACATATACCAGACACAAACAATATATTGAAAGAGTTAAAAGAAAAGATACCTATAGGTAAGATGGAACGTATACCATTAGATAAGAAAAATATTGTGAGAGAGGTTTTGAAAAAGCAGAATATATAGACTGGGATAGTATATCTGCTAGACTATTATATAGTGGTTCTATAAGAGTTCATGACATTGAAACACTTATGTCAAAAGTTTTATATCTTAACTATACAAATGTTTTCAAAAAGAACATAGAAAAATATATTGAGGGTATAGAGTTTGTGAGATGTCGTTGGACAGAGTTGTATGAAAAATATAAAGACAAGGAAAATGTTTTTTTATAGTGGACCCGCCGTTCTATAACACATGGGATTTTCAATACCAAGTAGACTGGACTTTGAGAGACTCTTTAGAAACTTTAGACGTTATACATAACCATCCATGCTTTTACTTTACATCCGATAAAAGTGGTTTGGAAACCGTTATGAGATGGTTAGAGGACATACATGACTATGAGTTTAGATATGACAAGATAGAATATGAGAGAGGTCCTATAAACCGGAGAAAGTGTCACAACAAAGAAATTTTATTGGTAAGTAAATGTGGTTTGAAATAGGACTACTTGTTTTAGGTTTTTTCCATTGTGTCATTTATTTATTTGACGTGGCAGAAAGATATAGAGAATATGAAGATGAACCAATGCCTGCAAATGTTCAGCATATGTACTCGTAAGAGATATTTTTATCTAATATTAAATGGACGCACAGAACTTAGCGAATGCACAGCAACCTGGACAACCAAACCCAGAGAATATTCCAAATGAAGTTAGAATACAAACTGCAATGGCAAACTATGGTCAAGTGCCAACAGATGTACAAATGCAAACTGCCATGTCAAATGACGCTGCGTTAGGCTTACCACCATGGTATGCAAATATGAGATGGAAAGAGTTTTATACAAACCCTGAAGTGGGATATAAACAACTTTATGCAGATGACGCGAACACAGGAGTTGACCCAGAATATGTTTTCTACCAGAGGAGAAACAGAATGTATGAGCTCCAGTTAAAGAATGCTATGGAACTCAACAGGAAACGTAAGAGACTAGGCGGACATTAGATTTTTACACGTAGTAAATGGGTTTCTTCAGTAGTATTGGAAACTTCTTCAGAAGAGTTGGAAGAGGTATATGGAATGGAATAAAATCTGTCGGAAGAGGAGTATGGAACGGTGTCAAAAATATTGGTAAAAGAGTAGGTCAGTTCGTTGGTATTATACCTAAAGACCCTGAACCAGAAGAACAAGCTCCTGTTATACAACAGCCTGAACCTGCACCACAGTCTAGTTGGCAACCAAATCCAACACCTCAACCGTATTAAAAAATTATATTTTTACCGTTCGATAGTAGTTGTATATGAAACTAAGTTCTAAGTAAAACGCATGGTATAATGGAATTATTCTTTTTCTTCCATCTGTAGTAAACCATACTTGAAAGTCTGAAATACTTCCACTTGGTGGTTCGTATAACTTTGTAGGTTTTTCGTAAAAATCATTCATCAGACATAAGAAAGAGTTTTGCGCACCAGAAAATGAAGCATGAACAATAATAGCATCTGGGTCGAAAATATTTTCATATGTTCCATTAGGGTTTTCGACTTCATAAAAGTTCGGGTGTACTGGATATTCTGCAGGCTGATTTAACATCCTCATAAATCTATACCATGCCAAGTTGTTATATTTTGTAGAAATATAAACGTTTTCTCCAAGGTCTTCTATTTTATTGATTTTAACAGTTGCATTTTTCCTGTCATAAATAATATCGAGATGGTATTCTCCTTCGTCAATGTTATACTGGTTTGCATATTCGATATAGATATCGTTTATTTTTTCTTGAAAAGCTTGAAGAGTTGTTTCTAAGTTTACAAGCAAATTCACTTGTAAAAGTTTTCCCTGTTCAAATTTCTCATACATACGTTTTTCTTTGTTATAGTATCGAACTTCAAAAGCGACCGTAAATGGGAAACCATGTATGGCTTCTGAAATGAACTTCATTCTACGAAAGCCAATAGCTTTTGTGACGGATGGGTCTCTTAACCATCTTAATGGGTAGTCAAAACGATAGCCTTCATGCTTTACGGTATCTGTCTCAAACTTTTGACCGACATTAGTAAAAAGTTCATCTAATGGTTTAGTTGTAGCAACTCTAGAATTTTCTTTTTCTATTGAAAGCATATTTTTATCTAGAATAAAAATGTCAAATGAAACAGCGTCTATGAGAGAACTACAACACAACCGACAACTCATTATGCAAGCTCTAAATAAGAACACAACAAACTTTTCAAACTATTCTAAGATATCTGAGTCATTGAAAGAAGGAAACTTAAAACTGACATTAAACCCAATGACAGATGAGTTTCTGTTTCAAGACAGTAAGAACCATACTGTCTGTATAAATCCAACAAAAGGAACTTTAAACGAGAAACCTATAAATGAACTTCTTTTGAAAGCAGATGTTGACAACAAAGCTGACAAAGAATATGTAGATGCAACAAAAGAATATATTTGCGCATGGACAGAAAGAACATACCCACAAAAACATCATACACATAACATCTATGACGTAGATGAACTTCAAGAAAAGTTAGATGACAAAGCGGATAAGAACCATACACATAAATCCTTCACTACTGTTAGAGCAGACGACATAATATTGAACTTTGACCTTGGTTCAAGTGCACCATTAGAAAATCCAAGTACAAGCGTAAAAGATACTCTTAACAATTTAGATAACAGTTGCAGGAATATCGAAGATCATGCCAGAAACTTTGAAGCATATGAACTACCAACAATGTTAGATAAGAAAGCAGACAAAACAGAGCTTCAAACATTAAAGACAGAAATACTTCAAACATTATATCCTATAGGTTCTATTTATACGTCAATGAACTCTACCAGACCAGAAGTAGTACTTGGTTTTGGAACTTGGACTCAAATAGTCGACAGGTTTTTGTATTGTGCAAACTCTTCAAAGGAAACAGGTGGAAGTAAAACGATTTCAGGTGCAAATTTACCTGCACACAGTCACTACATAAATTTAAGTACATCTCAAGAAGGTGGGCATAGGCATAAATATTGGGATTGGTCAGGAATGACAAAAGGTAAAGGATATGATGTTAAAGACAACGTTCAGTTTGCTATAAATTGTTACTGGAGTAACACTGAGGGAGGAGGAAACCATACACATCGCGTTTCAGGATATACACAAACAACGGGACAAAGTAAAGACTACATGCCACCTTACATGACTGTATTCGCATGTATAGAATGCTTAGTCGTCATTTTCAACTTCTTTAGCATATTCGTCAGGAGTTGTCTTATATTTGTTAGGACTGTCTTTGAAAGTATACCACCTTGAACTTTGACAAGTTTGAAACGAGGTCTGACAATAGTAGTTTTATCTTCTGCTTGCAGTCTGTACATTTTGCCATGTTTGCCTAAAACTTCATAATATTTCTTGTATACTTTCTTCTATTTTTTACGAACACGAATGTGGAGTACTGTCGGGTTCCATTGTTGTCATAGTCAATAGTATTTTCATATGGTCGCGTTTAGGTATTTCTATTTTTACTTTGTCACCTTTCTGAAGTTTGAAGCCCGGCATTCTTTCTTGTTTGTCTCTTTTGACTAAATTATTAAATATATAGTCTTTCTCTAAGTCAGGGTTGTTTTTCATTTCTTCAGGGGAGTGGTTTCCCAAACCTTTTTGTTTACGGCTATTGTAAATATTTAAAACTTGTCTCATCTTTGCCATGGAGAAGTGTCTATATTTGTCGTCATATGACATTTCATTTACTTCACCACCTTGTGGTTGGTTTAAGTCTCTTAACATTTTTATACAACCGTCAATGACACCAAGAGCAGAATGGTTTTGGTCGACAATGAAATATTGGTTTACATTTTTTGAACGCAGATAGTTTTTAATATCGTCTGATTTGAAAGAACTTTCATAGTCAGATGTCAGTTTTGTTGGATGGTATTTGTCAACGAATATTGTCAAAGCAGTTTTCACATCTAAAATATTTTTGGACCATAATGGTATGGCTTCACAGTATCTTGTGTTTTGACCGACAAATATTAGCCAGTATGGTGGTCCATCTTCTCTATACCTCGGAATGTTTTCCAAGATATCCATAAACCAAGCATTTGGTGTTGAACTAAAGATTTTTATCATGAGTGCTTTCTTTGTTGCCTTAGAAACATAGGGGTCCTTGTTTGAATTCGTCATTTTTTAACCCATAAGAAATGGGTTTATTTGGCGCATTAGCAGGAGTTGCATCCAGATTTTTACCCGCAGTGGGAACAATAGCCAGAGGTGCATTTGGAATTGGAAGGAAGATTTTGAGTACATTAGGTATACTGAAAGAGAAAGCACAACCTATTATACAAACCGTACAGAAAGGTTGGGAGGTAGCACGAGATGCAACAAATCTTATTCCAAATCCTGAAACAAGAGGAAAAGTTCAAGAATGGATGGACAATGTAGGAAGACAAGCAGGAAACTATTATAACAAAGCAAATGACTACTATAACCAAGCAGGACACTATATGGACCAAGGTGAAAGATTCTTTAACAGAGGATAAACCATGCACAACAGTGGGTAAACAATAACCAACCTCAACCGCCTCAAACGTGGGGAATGTAAATTTTTTTACTGAGATGAAATGAACAATACAGCATTGAGACAAATGGGTTCAAGATGGATTTGTCGGCTTCCAGCAGTTACACAACGTGTTTGTCAAGTTCTTCCTATACCTCAGGAAGTTTTAGACCGACTTAAAAAACCTCAACAACCAGTTGAAAACAAACCAAACTAAAATTTTTTACTGAGATGAAATGACCGAAGAAGTTGAAACGGTAGATTTGACACCACAAACAAAAAGTTCAGAACCATTGTCAAAACCTGTCAAAGAACTTACAGATGAAGAGAAAAATTCAATAATAGAAAGTGCCAGGTCTGGAAATACAAACCCTAACTACAAAGTCACTTTTCATAAAAATGGAACGGCAAGTATCTCAAAAAAGAAACAGACTCTCACAAATAAAATATTGAAGTCTGAAGGAGCTTTCGAGACAACAGATGGAAAAGTTTACTTCACTGACCAACAGTTCATTATAGAACATCTCATTGACTTAGAGTCGAAATATTCTAAACTTTACAACAAACACAAAAAGTTGAAAGGAAAACAAAAACAAATGGCATATGATATTTATGAAGATGTTGACGACACAACTGTTCCTGCAAGTGAAGTAAAGTCAGAGGAACCGAAAAGTGACGAAAAACCGATAGAAGAAGAAAAACCAAAAACTGAAGATAAACCAAAACCAAAGTTTAGTTTCCAAACTAAACCAAGTCAACCTTCATTAGCTGGTATGGGTTGGCGTCAAAGACTTATGGCAGCAGGCGGTTATGTAAAGTAAAGAAAAAAATATTTTTTTATTTTTATAAAAATGCCCCCATATAGAATGGACAGAAAGTCTGCTAGAATAAAAGCAGAGTTACAAAGATATGGTTGGAGAGTTTCGAAGAATTTTAAATATAGGAAGGGAAGACCCATAAAAGTCTATGACAAATTGTCTGGTCTTCGCTACGAAATGGATTTGGAAACAGCACGTGCCAATTATCCAAACAGACTAGAGAGGTTAGAAGAAGAACGTCTTATGGACATGCCTTTCGATGTTAGTGAACCTCAAGTTGAAGGACACGACGGCTTTGCCAGATTCTACTGGAAACATGACGAACAATTGCATCCTTTGAGAAGGAAAAAAGGAAAAGGTGAAGACGCACATGCTCCCATGGAAAGAACAAGATATGAATATGAAAAGTATCGTGAAGTTAGAAGTCAAATTACATCTGGTCGAACCTTTACAGTAAACTTTGACGAAGGAAAGAACAAAGAAGGCTTCATGGGTGTACTTGCTGCAATTCAAGACGGAAATAAGAAAGGACACAATCTCAGATTGACCATAACAGATTTGGATGGTCACATTTACTATGCACATGGCAATGTCACAACAGCCGCACAACTTCTTGACGCTTTCAAGACTACAAAGAGAGAACAAATGGTTGACTCCGACTCAGACATTTTGAATGCAATTGAAGGAATTGCAAGTGTCAAGTTCGAATGGTACCAACCTAACCCTCAAGCAGTCAGACAACATGCTGGATACTTCCCGTTCATAAATAAGTCTGACATTGACTTGACAAGGTATGGAATTTACAATTCAATTGAAACAATTGTCAATGAACCTTGTATTCTTACATGTCTCAGGAACTCTGGTCTTGTTACAGATGAGAAAATGAAGTATCTTGAGTCATGTGTGAAGACAAGGTACATTCTCAGAGGTCAATTGGCAAAAATTGCACCGTTGGCAAATGTCAATATCCGAGTCAACATACCTACAGCTAAAGGTTCTTCACATGACGACTATGTTGTTGACAAAGACTTATGAAACACCACAGCAACTAATGTCGGTTGTTTCTGATGTTCTATTCGGTATGCTCTTTAAGTAGTCAAGTGGGCGATAGATGCTGATTTGCTTGCCTACACCAAGATAACAGTTTCAAATAGTTCTTTCAAAACTTCATGAGGTGCAATGACATATGAGTTCACTTTTACAGGGTTTGTGTTCGACCAGTTTAACAATTATTACCTAAAGCTTGACAAATCTTCTCCTGAGTTTTAAAGTTTGTCTTCAGTTGTTGGTAGTCCTTTCGAATATCTGCAACAGAACTTAAGTCTCTGCTAACTTCAGGATATGTTGGGTTGTCTTTTACAGGAACTATTGTTATACATCTCGTCTTCGTATGGTTCCCCACTTCAAACATCTCTGTTTTGACATTGACAACAACACATTTGACGTTTTTTTTTGAGTTGGTGAAATTTAACTTCACATCTGCCACCGCCATAAAACCTTTTGAAACACTTACGCTTCTATTTTTTCGGAAATGACATTTTACTTAGAATAAAAAGATGGACGTATTGAGTATCTCTTCGAATTGAAGCAAAACAAAGTTTACACACACAACAATACAAATACATTGACAGAATAGTTCTTTATACACAAACAATGGAAAATGTTATAGAATAGCAGTCTTTGCTGAACCAAAATATTTTCATAAAGCAAAGAAAGTTGGTATAACTGAAATGGTGAAAAGTTCTTGAAGCCAGACAAAAATATAACTTCAAAACTGACCGATATTTCTAAGGTAGTTTATAATACAATATTATGTCAAAACTGGCGTACTGTCAATATTTGACGGAGAGAAGTCAGTTCAAGAACAACTTACTGCCCTGCTGCCAAAATCTGCTCGATGGAAGCTGTCGTTATAGGCCAATTGAGGAGCCCCAGCAGGTTTCATCGAACGAATCTTCAAAAGAGCATCTTCCGTGAAAAGTGCTATTGTGTTTGTAAACTTCTTTGCTTTCAATTCATCTGGACCGTCTCTTGTCACCAGTATATTGTAATTTGAACTGTACCAACGTTGAAATACCACCCATAAGTCTTCTGAGTCAGCAATGGAATGCCAAGCCAAAAGTTTGAACGGTCTCTATTTGTATATTGAGTTTTTTGACCTCCTGAATGAGTCCATACTTTCACATATGGCATAAGAACTTTGCATTTCAGGGTTAAATGGTTGTTGTGAAGTTGTTTTGTTAAAGTTCATAGCATCTAATGTCAAGTTGTATGACCTCATATCTTCAACTGTAGAATATTCTTCTCTTGGATAATATTTGCCATCTATGTTTATGATATTTAATACCGGGGTTGTAGAACAAGAATAGTCATTTATAGTTCGTCTGAACAGTACAAACATAGTATCTGCATGTTTCATTGCAGTTGTTTAAGGCAATATCTGTTCTTGCCCTGGGTCAGCACTTTGGTTTCCAACTTCACCTGCAAAGTCTTTGACAGATATTTGGTGTATAGGGAACATAAGTGGAACTGCAATATATTTGGCAGCTAAAGCATTTGAAATATCTGGGTCAACATATAGACTGCAAGTCTGCTTTCTATTCTTTGCATTCATAATTTTTCGCATGTGAACTTAACTGGGTCCCCAATACTCCAGCACGCATTGAAATAATAGTTTACTTCATGTGTTGAAGTTTGAGAAACCAAAGTCTAAGTCAACTTTGTTTTGAAAATGCACAGAATTTCCGACCAGTTCGCTCAGTATAGTGAATGGGTCTTGTGTTGGTGCAATGACTAAGTTATTTTTGCTTGGAGTAAGTTCGATAGAAATTTTCCTGCCCAGTTTGGCAAGTATCTTAAAAACCTGAAGATGAGGAAAGATGACAAAGGAACTCTAAGTTTCAGTTTTACTTTGTAGTGGCTGCAGTTATTTGCCAGAAAGGTTAACATAAACTCCTGGAACGTTAGGGTCAAGTCTTCTTATTTTCTCAATAGTTGCATACTGGTCTGTTTGTTCTCTAGCTTGTGGTTGTACTGAGTTCTCAAAGCGAACCATTCATAGTTTGCCCATGTTACTGTTTGAACTAAGTCAGAGTTAGAATATATTTATATCCCATGAAAACTTCTGGAGCATATTGGTATCCGACATAGAAAATTCCATTGCAACCTTTCTTGTCAGACCAACTTGCAGAAGGTTTTATTTCAAATGTCTTGTTCCACGTATAAGAATGAGTTGTCAATAGAAATAATATGAAACCTGTCGCAAGCAATATCTACTGTTGTTTGAAGAACCTTCTCCAAACTCACCTACATTTCCATAAGAAACAGCAGTTGTATATTCGTAAGTTCCAGGAACTATTTCTGACCTTCTAATGGCATTGTCGCATTCGTTATCCCATTCGAAACATTTCCGTTCATGGCATCCAAAACTGTTGGCGTTATATTCTGAGCGGCGTACATTTCATATGGGTAAAAATATAGAATAGTTGGATTTATGTGTCATAAATAGAACCCACTCCGACCAAGCTTTACTTCTTTCCTGACTGAGTTTTTAACTCTTCTTTTTCCTTCATTGCCACTACTTTCACTAGATGAAGTTATTCTTCACTACTTTCACTTTTGTTCTACCTCTTTCTCTTGCTTCTTTGGTGTTCGCTTTTGGGTAACTTGCCCTCTGCTTCAAGTTGTTGCATCTTTGCCTCATGTTCACCTAGTATGTTGAAATTTCCCATGTCCTTTTTGCCTTTGGCTCTGGTCGCCCATCTCAGGTAACCTATATCCTAGAAAGATTTGTCATAGTTTGTATTTGAGTCTTCGCTGTATTGTTTGCATGACCTCTTTCCTGAGTTTCCGGTTCAAGCTCTTCAAAAAGCTTGTCCATATGGAATATGCTCGTTTCCCAAATATATGTTTTGTAGCCATTCTGGTTTTCTTTCCATGTTACCAATAATATCTTTTTGTGAATGGGAAAGCTTTACCCAATTTTCAGTCTTGCGTCTTTATTTCTGTAGTTGGTTTTTATTTTGTCAAGGAACATGTTTTTCAATACTAACATTTCATTTGGTACTGTCCATTTGAGTTTTCTTAAATATTCATCCCTTCTCGGTTATTGTCTGCAAAGTAAGTTTTTATGACATTTTGAAACTTTCGTTTGCAAGGTCATGTACAATAGGTTCTCTTCTTTCTCCTCCCTACCTTTCTTTCTAAATCTTCACCAAATATACCATCTCTATGGTTCTGTGTAGTTCTTTGAGATAAATGTTCTAGAACGTCAGGTGTTATATTCATCAGCCATGTTCATTTCATACTGGTCCAAATATCTGCATCTTTCATGATCTTTCAATGGCATTAAAGCCGCGCTGAAAATACCAGCTATATCTGGTTCACCATTGACACTTCCATTGCGTCTACAACTTCTTGGAATTGTGGTTGTAAGTTTTAGAACCACCTATCGGATTAGCTTTATGACCCCATCTCATTGTAGTTCCATGTCTGCAGAAACAAAAGTAGGTTTGTTTCCATATTGGTTAGGTTCTGAATGAACTTTAAACAATGTTTTCATTTTATATGTTTGTTGAAATTTAACCTTTTATTTTCACCGAGTCGCGCAAAGATTGAACGTTAAATGTCGTAAGTAAAAAGGATTGTTGTATTTCTTACATTTTCTTTCAGTCTTCCATTCTATGCTGATATTTTCATCTGTGTTGGAGTCTTTTGTATGTCGGCAAACTTTTTCGATATTCTTCTACTTATGTCAGCCGAATTTTTTTTAGACTCTTGGAAAATTCCATATTTCCCATACTCTTGTTGAGGGTCAAGATTTTTCGGCTGTTCCAAATCTTCATCTAGTTCTGTGAAGTTAGTTTCCAAAGGAGGACTGTGTCGTTTCCTTCAGGCTCTCTAGCTGTTGTTGCTGAACTATTTCTTCCATGTCTGGTTGTATCTGACTTCTTCCTGTGGAGTTCTTGTACTCATCTGCTGGCATTTCATATATTCCGAGACCGTTTTTAACAAGTTCCCTATTAGTCATTCGCTCATAACCTTTCTTCTTTCGTTCCGTCTCTATTTTTTACGCGTTTCCATGAAGATATAGTTTGAATTATCATTTATCTCTGACACCAAATATCTCGGAGTAAATTCATCCATGTCATTTGGATGATATGCTATTAAATCATAATCCCTTAGCGAGCTTGTATTTTTCACGGTTTGAAATTATATCCCATTTGGTGCTGAACCATAAAGCTAAATAGGTTCGGGTCAGTAATTTCCTTCCTTGAACTTTCTCAATAGCTTCTTTATATCTGTCACTAAAGTCAAGAGTATCTGGGTAACATAATTTTCCTTAAGCATTTTTAAGAATTCTTGGTTTCCTTGTTCTCATACTTCTTTTTATGTCCTTGCTCTGTTTTGTGTGTTGTTGTTGTGCAGGGTTTTGAACTGTTGGTTGCTGTGCTGGTTGTGGAGTGTGTGTCTGGTTGTTGGTTTGTTTGTGCGATTTTGAACTGTTTGGTTGTTGTGTGGTTGTTGTTGGTTGTTGTGTTGGATTTTGAACTGTTGGTTGTTGTGTTGGTTTTGGTGCATGCCTGTGTCTGTGTCCATGTGACGATGTAATGTTTTAGGTAGTCCTGGTGCAGGTGCTTCCTTGGAGGGTTTGGTGGTATATTAAGTTCCACTAGCTAGTTATAGAAGTTCCACCACTGGCACATATGTTCCATCTGCAGCATATGTCTCACCTGACTTTTCGTTTTTAAGAAAGCATTTACTAGGTCTGTTTTGGTCTGTTGTAACTCTTTTTCTTGACTTTCCACAACAGTTGCTCTAAAGGCGTCATAGGCCTTTGAACGCCTGTCTCGTTGCTGCATCTGTTATTTTCGTCATATTTTGTGCTACTTCTCTTAACTCTTTGTCGAAAACCTTCAGACTTCAGTTTCTTTCCAGATGAGAAGTCGT